GGTGGCTGTCCTGTTTTCTCAGCTCCATTTATAGAAGAGACTGTCCTTTCTCCATTGTATGTACTTGGCTCCCTTGTCATAAATTAACTGGCCATATTCGTGTGGGTTTATTTCTGGGCTCTCTATTCAACTCCACTGATCTGTGTGTCTGCTTCTGTGCCAGTACCTTGCAGTTATAATTGCCGTAGCTTTGTGATAGAGTTCGAATCAGGGACGTGCTGTTTGCAGCGTTGTTCTTCTTTCTCCAGGCTGCTGGGCTATTTAGGGTTTATGTGGTTCTATATAAATGAAAAATGCCTCTGGGACTTTGATGGGTATAGCATCAAATCTGTAGATTGCCTCGGGTAGTATAGACATTTTAACAATATTGATTCTTCCAATGAGTATAGAATATCTTTCCATTTATTTGTGTCTTCAGTTTCTTTCATTAATGTTTTATATTTTGCAATATACAGATCTTTTACTTCCTTGGTTAAATTTATTTTTAGGTATTCTTTTTGATTTAATTGTAAATGGGATTTTATTTTTATTTTTCTTTCTGATAGTTTAGTATTGGTGTATAGAAATGCAACTGATTTTTATGTATTGATTTTTGTATTATTCCACTTGACTGAATTTATTAGTTCTAACAGTTTTTTGATGGAGGCTTTAGGGTTTTTTTGTATATAACATCACATCATCTTCAAATAGTGACAGTTTTACTTTGTCCTTTCCAGTTAGATGACTTTTGTTTTCATGCCTAATTGTTCCGGATTGTGCTTTTACAACTATGCTGCGTAAAAGTGGCAAGAGTGGGCGTTCTCGACTTGTTCTGATCTTAGAGGAGATGCTTCCAGTTTCATCCTTGAGTGTGATGTTAGCTGTGGCCTGGTCATATACGGCTTTTATCATGTTGATATTGAGGTGTGTTCCCTCTATACCACTTTGTGGAGGGTTTTATTATAAATGGATTTTGAGTTTTGTCAAATGCTTTTCCTGTATTTATTGAGATGTGCAGTATTACATTAATTGATTTGTGCACAGTGAACCACTCTGTCATCCCTGAAATAAACTCCACTTGATCATGGTGTATGATCCTTCTATTGTATTATTGAATTCAGTTTGCTAATAATTTGTTGATGCTTTTTGCATCTATGTTCATCAGGGATATTTGACCTGTAACTTTTTTTCATGAAGCATCCGTGTCTAGTTTTGGTATCAAGAATAAGCTGGGTTCATAAAATGAGTTCGAAAGAGTTCCTTTCTCTCTTTCGTTAGGAGAATCTGAGAAGGATTGACAGTCTTTGGATGTTGGGTAGAATTCGCCAGTGAAGCCATCTGGTCCTGGGCTTTGTCGGGAGGTTTTTGATGACTGATTCAGTCGTCTGGTAAACTGGTCTGTTTAGATTTTCAATTTCATCAGCCTTGGTAGGTTGTATATTTATAGGAATTTCTCTCTTTCTTCTAGGTTGTCCAGTTTGTTGGCTTATAATTGTTCTTAATTGTCTTTTATGATCCTTTGTATTTCTGTGGTATCAGTTGTAAATCTTCTCTTCATTTCTGATTTTACTTATTTGAATCCTCTTTTTTTTTTCTTGGTAAGTTAGCTGAAGACTCGTCAATTTCATTGATCTTTTAGTGAACCCACTCTTTCATTGGGCTTTTTAAATTGTCTTTTTAGTCTATTTCATTTATTTCTGCTCTCGTTATTTTTTTCTTTCTAACTTTGGGCTTCATTTGTTCTTTTTGTAGTTCTTTGGGTATAAAGTTAGGTTGTTTGTTAGACACTTTGTTTCTTGAGGTAGGGATTTATTGCTATGAACTTCCCTTTTAGAACTGCTTTTGTTGCATCTCACAAATTTTGCTATTTTACACAGGTATCCTCCATTTTTGAAAGTTTGCATTACATAACTTTGCTGTTACAGAAGACCTACATTAGTACCTGTTTTTGCTAACTGAAAGAAATCTAAAGAGGATTTTCACTTTTATGAAAAAGGCAAAAATCAAAGCTAGAATTTAGCATTTGTTTTGCAGTGAGCCATGACAGAGGCAGTGTGCTCTCCGAGGATGAGAGTGGCACTGCCAGGCTGTGGACTGTCTGTGAGCATCTGCACGTTGTTTTGATTTATTTTGTGTATCTGTTAGCAAGATGTGCCCTGAGGTATCAGAAAGGCCTAAGAGAGCTCGTAAGGGTGTTACACTTAGCATAAAACTGGATGTAATTAGAGTTTTGATTGTAATGAAATAAAAACATTGTAAATAAACATTGAATTTTGGATCTGGGAATGCTCAACATTTTTTTCTATATGAATTAGTCATAGTTGCGTCTTCACTTCACTTCACTTCAGCCTACGAAAGATTAGCCAAAACAGGCATGCTCTACTTCTGTGCAGCAAGGAAACCTGTATTCTGTTTCTCCTTGTCTCAAAGTATTTTTAAAATATGTTTTTATTGATTTTTTTAGAGAGAGAGATAGAAACATTGATCTGAGAGAGAAACATCAATTGGCTGCTTCCTGCACGCCCCCTACCGGGGATCGAGCCTGCAACCCGGGCATGTGCCCTGACTGGGAATTGAACTGGGACCTCTCAGTCCCCGGGATGCGCTCAATCTACTGAGCCACCCCAGCCGGGCTATCTCAAGGTATTTTTAAAGTTTTATTTCTCTTTTAATTTCTTCTTTGACCCTCAGTTGTTCAGTAGCACGTTGTTTAATTGCCACATATTTGTGGATTGTCCAGATTTTTTCATGTTATTAATTTCTAGTTTCATACCATTGTAGTCAGAAAAGATGCTTGATATTTTTTAATCTTTTAAAATGTATTAAGATTTGTTTTGTGGCTTAACAAATGATCCTGGAAAATATTCCATGTGCACTTGAGAAGAATGTGTACTTTGTTGCTTTTGGATGGAATGCCCTTTATATATCTGTTAAGTCCATCTAGTATAATGTGTCATTTAAGGCAGATGTTTCCATACTCTTTTTTTTTTTTTTTTTTTATCTGGATGTTTGATACATTGATGTAAGTGGGGTGTTAAAATCCCTTCTTATTATTGTGTTGCTGTCTAATTCTACCTTCAGGTCTTTGATTATTTGCTTTATATATTTAGGTGCTCCTATGTTAGGTGCATAAATGCTTACAAATGTTATATCCTCTTCGTGGATTAACCCTTTTGTTATTATGTAATGCCTTTTTTGTCTCTTACTAGTCTCTTCATTTTTAAGCCTATTTTTTTCCCCGATACAATTATAGCTATCCTAGCTTTTTAATTTTGGTTTCCATTTGCATGGAAAGTCTTTTTCCATCCTGTCCCTTTCAGTCTGTGGCCCTACATCTGAAGTGAGTCTGGTAGGCGGCACATAGATGGGTTTTATTTCTTTATCCGTTCAACTACTCTGTCTTTGAAGAACTTAGTCCATTTACATTTAAAGCAGTTATTGATGGCCATGTACTTACTGTCATTTTGTTGATTATCTACTGGATGGTTTTGTAGTTTCCCTTTGTTCTTTCTCTTTTTCTCTTCGTTTTTACTTTGATGATGACTACTTAGTGGTATGCTTATATCCCTTTCTCTCTTGTGTTTGTACTATAGGTTTTTGCTTTGTGGTTACAATGAGGCTTACATATTACAACTTACATCTATTACAGTCTGTTTTAAAGTGGTAACACCTTCAGTTGGATCCCATTCTACAGCTCAGCATTTTTACTCACCCCCACATTTCATGTCGCACTTCACATCTTTTACCTCGTACACCCCTTAACTACTTATCAAAGTCATAGTTATTGTCAATATTTTTATTTTAACCTTCTTATTAGCATTACAAGTGATGAATCCACTACCTTTATTATATTCCCACTTTTCCAATGAGAATTATTATTTAATATGTTTTCTTACTACTAATTAGTGCCCTTATCTTTCAGCCTCAAGAAGTCTCTTTCTTGTAAGGCTGGCTTAGTGGTGATGAATACCTGTCGCTTTTGCTTATCTGGGAAACTGTTTTTCCTTAATTCTGAATGATCACTTTGCCAAGGAGTCGTCGTCGTGAAAGAAGGAGAGAGAGACAGGCATAGACTTTGATGTATAAGAGAAACATCAGAGAGAGGGAGAGAGACAATAGACATCGATGTACAAGAGAAACATCAATTGGTATGTGCCCTGTCAAACCGCAACCTGTCAGTACACGGGACGGCACTGCAACCCACTGAGCCACGCCAGCCACGGCAGCCACGGCTGCTGTGGGGAGTATTCTTGGTTGGAAGCTTTCTTCCAGCACTTTCATGGCAAAATTTCTGCCTGAAAACTCTGCCCATCGTCTCATGGGGGTTCCCTTGTATAAAACAAGTTGATTTTTCTTGCTGCTTTTAATAATCTCTCCTTGCCTTTAACTTTGGATGTCTTAACCATACTGTGTCTGGTGTGGGTGTCTATGATTCCTCTCACTTGGAGCTCTGTGGGCTTCTTGGATCAGGATGTTTGTTTTCTCCCCAAGTTAGGGAAGTAACTTTTCAAGTAACTTTATTTTTGTCCTTGTTAGTTTTCGAATGTGCAGCATAGTCTTAGACACGTCCCAGGCCTGCCTTAATCTTTATTTGTGAAGAGGAGCTGATGGTCTTAGTGTGACTCTTAGGTGCATTAAGTTACTTCTAAAATCATTGGGGAAATTAGAAGACTACCTAATAAATGTTTTCACAAAAAACATCAACTAATGAGTTGTTGAAAACTTTGGTCTCGTTGAACAGCACATTCTGTTTTTGCGCCCATAATTCAACCATACTCAGGTACTTCCCGTGGTACGTAATGTCACAAGGCTTTTGTGCCGTCATCAAGTTCGTCAGGATTCAGATGTTCACAGCAGGGTGACGGGAAGGCACATGGGGCAGAGGGAGATGGGGCAGCTGGTCTGTATTACTGGGCAGGTGATGTCTTTATCTGCGGAGGAGGAGAATGACAGCATTGACCAAAATAGTGGCGGTGATGAATTTCAGAACGCAGCAATTCAACCTTTCTATTTTGTTGCAGGTATTTCTTGGTGGATTTTTATGCACCAGCAACAGCTGTTGAAAGCATAATGGAGCACTTGTCTCGAGATATCGATGTGATCCGACCCACTGTTGTGAAGCACCCTCTGACCCAGGAGGCGAAGGCGTGTGAAGGGCTTGCCCCGGTCCCGCTGGAAGAAAGACTGTACTCCACGAAGAAGAGGAAGTGAGCTTCGCAGTCCAGCCTGGTGGCCAGTGCTCTCGCGCTGCGCCGGGCTAACCGTGTGCCAGCCAGACCTTTGCATGAAGCCTGCAGGCGGCTCGGCCCCTGGCGTCTGCGTGGGAGGCGGGGTGGCCCCCGCCAGGTCCCCTTGCCCTGCAGCACTGACCCCGCTTCGGGCAACAACGCTGACAAACTACCTTGGATTGTGAGCTAGTCATTCAGACTGTGTAACCACGCAAAATAAAACGTCATTCAGACTCTAAACCGTGTTGTGTTGTATGAGTAACTTTTGGTCAGTAGTAAACATGATTTTTAAAAACTTGGGGAGGTGTTAGGTGTTCACCTGCCCGGCACAGAACACCACCCCAGGCCTTGAAGCCCCCGTCTGCTCACAGTGCTAGCAGGTTTTGGGGTGGTGACCAGCCCAAGGTCAGAGACAGGGAGGGGTGGGGTGGGGTGGAGGTGGGTGTGTCTTTCCCTTGACTGTTGCATTCTATAAAATCTGTAACTTTTTCTTTCTTTAAACCCTCACCTGAGGACACTTTTATTTTATTAAGAGAGGAAGGGAGAGAGAGAGAGATCGATTGGTTGCCTCCCATATGCACCCAACCGAGGATTGAACCCGAAGTCTTTGGTGTGTAGGACGACATTCCACCCCGCTGAGCTGCCCAGCAGGGGCAGGAACTTTCTCTTCCATCTCACAGTTGTGATGGTGCTGCTCTCTGGAGAGGGTGCGGGCCTGGCGGTGGCACCCCGCACCCCGCACCCCGCACCGCGACACCTGCCTCCCGCTGGCTCCCGGCCCTGGACCTCTGAGGAGCCGCCTCTGAATCCCGCCTCCTGTCTTTGCGGTGCCTTGGGGTTTATCTTGTTTGGGACTCCCTGTGCTTCCTGGACTTGTATGTGTTTCCTTCAAGTTAGGGAAGTTTCTGGCATTATTGTTTCAAATAGGTTTTCGATTTCTTGTTCTCTCTCTTCTCCTTCTGGCACCCCCAAGATGCGAATGTTGGCACGCTTGAAGTTGTCCCAGAGGCTCCTTACACTATCATTTTTTTTAATTCTTTTTTCTTTTTGCTGTTCCGATTGGGTGTTTTTTGCTTCCTTATATTCCAAGTAGATGGTTTGCTTCTTGGCTTTACCTACTCTACAATGAATCTGTGTAAATTATTCTTTATTTCAGTTAGTGCCTCCTTCATTTCTGACTGGTCCTTTTTTATGCTCTTGAGGCCCTCACTAAGTTCACTGAGGTCCTCACTGAGTTCATTGAGCATCCTTATAAGCAGTATTTTGAACTCGGCATCTGTTAGGTTGCTTATCTCCATTTCGCTTAGTTCTTTTCCTGGGGTTTTGTTCTGTTCTTTCATTTGGGACCTGTCTCTTTGTCTCCTCATTTTGGCTGCCTCCCTGTGTTTGTTTCTGTGTATTACTTAACGAGAGGTATGGGGCTCGCTGAGACCAGATGCTGCTCATTTGAAAGGATTTAGGAAAAACCTGAAGCAGGATCTGAGACAGGCCAATCCTATGGTTAAGCAAGTGGCAACAGCTTGGGTGGGCCTGAAAGTTGGGTGGGGCGGGGCCTCAGGGAGTCACCAGGGCGGGGCTACCAGTGTGAGCCAGGTTGCTGGAGTCCCAGATATGGGGGCATCTGCCGCCCCAGGGAAGGGCTCACCAAAGGAACAAAGGCCTCTGACAGCACGTCTGTCCCTGAGAAAGCCCCCTCTCCAGCCCTCGCTCCAGTGCCAAACAGCTCAGTTCTTCCCTGTGTGTCTCTGGCGCCCCTCGAGCTGCCTCCCCTCCAAGCTTAGAGGGAGAGAGTCCGGTAAGTCCATGTGCGGGCCCTTTAAGGAGCTGCCTGGGGCTCCAGCCGCCTCAGTTCCTGCTGGTTTTACAGCCAGAAGTTATGGGACTTCTCTTCCTGGCACTGGAACCCGGAGCGGGGCATCTGGTGTGGGACGGGGACCCCTCAATCCTCAGGGAGGACCTTCCCAGCCGCGGGAACCTCCTGATTTTTATCCGCCACACGTGGGTGGGGGACCAGCCCGTCCACCTCTGCCCTACCAGTCTGGATGTGGCTGCTGCTTTAATTCCGTAGTTGTAGGACTTCCATCCAGCTCGATGTCAAGCTGTTCTGAATGATGGTTGTGCTGTAGTTTAGTTGTAACTTTGATGTGGTTGTGGGAGGACGGATACTGTGGTTACCTACCGCCCCGCCATCCTGACCGGAAGTCAATTTGAAACTTTTAGATCTATTTTTTAAAACATGACCTAGAGCCCAGGCCTGTTTTGCTCAGTGGTTAGAGTATCGGCCCACAGACCAAAGGGTCACAGGTTCGATGCCTTTCAGTCAAGGGCATGTACCTGGATTGCAGGTTCAATCCCTGGCCCTGGTTGGGGGCATGCAGGAGCCAACCAATGGATGTGTCTCAAATCAATGTTGCTCTCTCTCTCTCCCTCCCTCTCTTTCTTCCACTCTAAAACTCAATGGAAAAATATGCTCGGGTGAGGATTAAATAAATATATGACCTAGAGATAAAAAGACAAGTTTTGTTTAGAGGGTTATTGTTTTGGTAGGGGAGAAGTTGGGTTTAGGACATTGTTATATATTTGAGACTAAAAACCAACTGGTCTCTGCTTGAAATGGATGTCATTAGAGTTACTGTATTCAGCAAATAAAATGCAAGATGCCCAGTTCCATTGGAATTCCAGATAAACAGTGAATCATTTTTTCCTATAAGTGTACTCCACATATTGCGTGAAATGTACTAATAGCAAAAAATGATGTATTATTTGAAATTCGAGTTTACCTGGGTGTCCTGTAGTTCACGTGGTGACCTCAGTGTACACACGGAGGCCTGAGCAATGCCGGGGCCGACAGGTGCGCTCCGCTCAGCAGAGCCCTGGCGGAGGACGTGAAGCCAGCAGCCAGCGTCCTGGCCTGGCCTGTCATCTGTCTGCGTCCTGGCCTGTCACCTGGCCGCAGCGTCAACAGGCAGAGCGCTGGGGCCGCGGGAGAACTCGCTGCCTGCCCCTCCGCCGCCCGAGCCGGTCTAGAGAGCAGCCGAGCTTTCCTTCGGGGTAAGGCCAGACAACTGTTCGGGGAGCCCGAATTGACACCACTGTCTCAATCAGTAAGGGGTGCTACCTGTCTTTTAAGAAAAGTTCTTTCAGAAGTTTCATGTGTGGCGTGTGCCCCAGCCCCGGGGAGCTGAGGACCAGGGCGACGGCCTCTTTGGCGACATCTGGAACAGGTCCTGGCAGCTCCTCGCTCTGATCAGAGCACAGGTAGGTGTCTGTGTCCAGTGCTGGGCAAGGGGCCACGTCACTGCGGGGGGTCTCCGGTTGTGATAACGTGTACATTCGGATCGTGCGAGGGCAGGAGGGTTGCCGAGAGCGGGCCTCTGCCTCTTGCTAACCATGTGCGCCGGGAGCCCCGGGAGACGCAGGACAGACGCCCCAGAGCCGGAGGGGCCCAGCCGCTAGCCGTTCGGGGCGTCCTGCCCCTGCCGCGGCCGCTCTGCCCTGGGATCACACTTGTCATTTTGCTGATTCCTGAGTCCAGGCAGTATTCAGCTGCCACTTCCTCCAGGGGCAAAGCTATCAAAGTCTGATGAGCAGTCGTTCAGCGAAGAGGTCATTAAGCACTGTAGACAGGAAGTGAAGGGATCAAGTGCAGAGCATCTGGGAAATCGGCGACTTCCTGTTGCCCGAGGAGTTTCCTGAAGGCGGCCCTTGGCCAGGGCGGGCACTCTGCTCCCAGCGGTGCTGCCCGGGCTGGCCCCTTCCTGGGCTGCTCCGTGCTGCCGCGGGCCACGAGCGGGGGGCCACGAGCGGGGGGCCACGTGCTGTAAGCCATGTGGTACGCCACACGTTGTCAGTTTCCACACCGAGGACTTTCGGCAGCTCTGAGGGGAAGTCGTCGTCCCATACTTTTGGGTGAGGAAAACGACATCAAGAGATTTGCCTTTGAGCTCACGAGTTCCAAAGGGCTGCTGGGGTCTTGAACTGGGACCCTGACACCGTGTGGTCTCCTCCCCCCAGTACCAGTGAGCCCTTGTCCCCTCGGGAAACGAGGCAGCTGGGGTGAACAAGTACCTCAGGAAGTGACCGTCGTCCCCGTGGCCAGAGTGTGGGGCTGGCACTTCCTCCTCCTGTGCTTGCGAGTCCCCGAGGAGACGGTGCCACAGGGCACCAGGCCGTGGCACCTCTGGACGGTTGGGAGGAGGCTGGCTGAGCAGGGTGGCCGAGCGCTGTGCCGCTTGCCCTCCTGAGAAGCTCCCTGCCCCCGGGGCGCTGACTCCCACCGGATCCTCGGCCTGCAGGATGCTGGTGTCTGAGAGGCCACAGGGCAGGCCGAGTCCAGGCAGCCAGAGGTCACAGGCACTGGTGGCCAAGGCGGTGAGCAAAGACAGGCCCTGTCCCCAGGGCTGCTGGCTAGGCGGCAGGGCGGGATGTGTGCCGCCCGTGGGGCGTGCTGCAGAGGGAGGGACAGGCAGGCGGGAAGTGACAGCGACGGCAAAGCCGAGACCGGGGACGTGGAGCGGCCCTGTGACGTGGTTGGCAGTGGGCACCGTACCTGCAGACGCCCTGAGGCCCTGAGCTGGGGACCAGAATGGAGGGCACGGAGGGGACATGGAGGGCACGGAGGGCAGCTCTGGGAGACGGGACCCAGAGGGAGGAGTCGGCTGAGGTGAAGGGGCCAAGGAGCAGAGAGGCCAGTCTCGGCAGGGAGGGGCTCCGGGCCTCCCTGTGCTCAGGCCACCAGCAAGGGCGTCATCCGCGGGCGTGTCACCTGAACTGTGTGTGGTCCACTTTGCACAGGATCAGGTGTCCAGAAGTAGTACTTTGTTTTCTGCAGGAGGTGGAGAACGAGTCGGAGGACCCGGGAAACTAGTCTCAGGTGAGCTCAGAGCTGCTTCCTGCAGATGTTGCCAAGTCAGGAGCCTTCTCCGGGCGTCCGATCGGGGTGGTCCGGCCCTGTGCCCGGACGGGCCTTCTCCGGGCGTCCGATCGGGGTGGTCCGGCCCTGTGCCCGGACGGGCCTTCTCCGGGCGTCCGATCGGGGTGGTCCGGCCCTGTGCCCGGACGGGCCTTCTCCGGGCGTCCGATCGGGGTGGTCCGGCCCTGTGCCCGGACGGGCCTTCTCCGGGCGTCCGATCGGGGTGGTCCGGCCCTGTGCCCGGACGGGCCTTCGCCGGGCGTCCGATCGGGGTGGTCCGGCCCTGTGCCCGGACGGGCCTTCTCCGGGCGTCCGATCGGGGTGGTCC